ACAAGTTCATGTAAAAGTCCATCTGGTAGGGTGAATCAAGTCTCTTGTATCTGTCTCTGGTCTTCTTATTTTGCCGAGTAGTTTTCCAAGTTGATGTAATCTGCTTACCCAGCAGTTCCTCTATTTTTGCAAATGTTGTTCGGAATACAAAAGATGAAGTAAGTAAGATATATACTTTCTGTCTCTCAAACTCTGAAGGTTCTCCTGGAAATTCCATAGTCCATTCCATTTTTCTTGTTGTATCAGAATCTTGTAGATTTTTTTCCTGTTTCTGTTAAATTGCAATTCTTTTCATTTGTTATTTCATCAATTTGGTCATATTCTTCTATTTTGTGGTCTGTTATCTGATTTGTTTGTTCATCATTGTTATTTCCTGGGTATTATTAGTTGTAGATTTAGATTAGAGATATGCTTATTTAAATCATCAAAGTTGTTTTGAATTTCCTTGTGATTTGAATCTATTGTCATTTGTGTTTGTCCTAACATTACATATATTTCCTCTGGAAAGTATTTATCTTGCAGTGAAGTATTACTTCTGGAAGTCCTTGATTTTACAGGCTAAATCTTTCAGAAGATTTAATTCCAGATCATGTCTCTCGGGGCAATGGAGACATGATCTGGAATTAAGGGGAATAGAGATCTCGCCCTTGTCATGGACAGATCATTTCCTATTGAGGCTGGACTTCAGAGCATCACTCCCCCATCGCAGGGAGAGGGAGCCGACTAGGTGGTTCCGCCCCAGGCACCTAATGGACCCAGACCGGTTCCAGGAGGAGCTTGGAGAAATACCTGACTCCCTTGTCCACAACTCGTCCGGGTCCCTGGTTGCGGCCTGGAATGAGGCGGCATCCGGGGCCCTGGATCGAATTGCGCCTTTGCGACCTCTCTGTGGTGGTGGTCCCCGGAGGGCGCCTTGGTTTACTGAGGAGCTCCGGGAGATGAAGCGCCACAAGAGACGTCTAGAGCGACGTTGGAGGGCCAGTAACTCTGAATCTGACCGATCACTATTAAGAGCCTATATTAGGACTTATTTAGTGGCGATAAGGGCGGCAAAGCGTGTTCACTTTTCCGCACTTATTGCGTCCGCAGAATCTCGCCCGGCCGCCTTGTTTAGGGTGACCCGCTCCCTTCTTAAAGTGGAGGGGGCGGAGGAACCCTTGCAGGGGAGAGCTGAGGAGTTTGTTCAGTTTCTGTCGGACAAAATCGCTCAGATTCAGAGAGACCTGGACTCCGACTGGGCAGTGCCAGCCGAGTTGCCAGGGGCTGGTCTTAGTCATGTTATCTGGAGCGAGTTTGAGCCTGTGACCCCTGATGAAGTGGACAAGGCCGTGAGGGCAATGAATGCCACCACCTGTTTATTGGACCCGTGCCCCTCCTGGCTGGTTTCTGCCAGTAGGGAGGTGACATGAGGCTGGCTCCAGGCGATAATCAACGCCTCCTTGATGGAGGGGTCTTTCCCGCAACCTTTAAAGGAAGCGGTGGTGAGACCCCTCCTCAAGAATCCTTCCCTGGACCCAGCTGTTTTGAAGAACTTTCGTCCTGTCTCCAACCTCCCCTTTGTGGGGAAGGTTGTAGAGAAGGTGGTGGCGTCTCAACTCTTGCGATCCTTGGATGAAACCAATTATCTGGACCCTTTTCAATCTGGTTTCAGGCCCGGCTACAGCACTGAGACTGCTTTGGTCGCACTGACCGATGACCTCTGGCGAGCCCGGGATAGGGGTTATTCCTCTATCCTGGTGCTTCTTGACCTCTCAGCGGCTTTCGATACCATCGACCATGGTATCCTTCTGCGTCGTCTCAGAGAGGTGGGGGTGGGCGGCACCGTATTGCGGTGGTTCTCCTCCTACCTCTCTGACAGGTCGCAGTCGGTGTTGGCGGGTGGACAGAGATCGACCCCTAGGCGCCTCGATTATGGGGTGCCTCAGGGCTCGGTCCTGTCCCCCCTCCTTTTTAACATCTACATGAAACCGCTGGGTGAGATCATTCGGCGACACGGGGTGAGGTATCATCAGTACGCGGATGATACCCAATTGTATATCTCCACCCCGTGTCCTTTCAGTGAAGCAGTCGACGTGATGTGCCGGTGCCTGGAAGATGTGAGGGTCTGGATGGGGGTGAACAGGCTTAGACTCAACCCTGACAAGACCGAGTGGCTCTGGGTCTTGCCTCCCAAAGGCCAACTGGATGGTCCATCTTTAGTCCTGGGGGGGGGGCAAATTTACCTCCCTCAGTGCAGGCACGCAACTTGGGTGTCCTCCTGGACTCACAGCTAAATTTGGAACAACATCTATCGGCTGTGGCCAGGGGGACCTTTGCACAGGTTCGCCTAGTGCACCAGTTGCGGCCTTATTTGGACCGGGAGGCTTTACTCACAGTCACTCATGCCCTTGTCACCTCAAGACTGGATTACTGTAATGCGCTCTACATGGGGCTACCCTTGAAGGGCGTTCGGAGGCTGCAGTTGGTTCAGAATGCAGCCGCGAGAGCGATTGTGGGTGCGCCAAGGTATGCCCACGTGTCACCTATCCTCCGCGAGCTGCACTGGCTTCCTGTGGGTCTCCGGACGCAATTCAAGGTGTTGGTCATCACCTTCAAAGCCCTTCATGGCATAGGGCCAGGTTACTTACAGGACCGCATTCTGCCGCACAGCTCCCAGAGACCGGTGAGGTCCCATAGATTGGGCCTCCTTCAGGTCCCGTCGGCCAGACAATGTCGGCTGGCGGGCCCTCGGGGAAGGGCCTTTTCTGTGGTGGCTCCGACCTGGCGGAATCAACTTCCCCCTGAGGTTCGAACTACTCCCACCCTGCCGGCCTTTAAGAAAGCCGTTAAAACTCTCCTGTTCCGGCAGGCCTGGGGCTGATGTCCTCGGCGGGCCGGGATATGATCGGACTTGCGGTATGACTGGATTATTTTATTTTATTGTTTTATGACTGTTTTTAATTTTGTACGCCGCCCTGAGTCCTTTGGGATTGGGCGGCATATAAATATTTGTAAATAAAATAAAATAAAATAAATAAAATCTTTCAGAAGAAAATGATATTTTTGATATATATATGATATCCATATTGTCTCCCCCCTTCAAATAATCTTTCATCAATGTTTTAATTCAAAAGTCAATTTATCAGTCAGTCAAAATTACAGTTTAATATGTTAAACCATTGGTTCTCAACCTTTCTAATGCCGTGACCCCATAATACAGTTCCCCATGTTGTGGTGACCCCCAACCACTTATACATCACCAGGTGCCAGGGGCATGGCCAAAGAAAAGGGGGAAAAAATGGTGGACAGCTTGTTTGGCGACCCCTGTGAAATGGTCGTTCGACCCCAAATGGGGTCCCGACCCACAGGTTGAGGACCACTGTGTTAAACCATTTTAAATCCTTCCTGTAGATTCTCCTCTAAAAGATTAGCCAAAAGTCAAAGTTTTTCTTTGCCACAACAGTTCTTAGATTTAAACAACTATCCAGGTGTTTTTTTCCCTTTCATACACTTTTTAATCTTATAGCTGGCTCTTCCTTTGTTCCCAGCTGTCTTCAAGGTTATTTGCAATTCAAAAGAACAGATTATTCTTTATCTCTTGGCATTCTACCAGTTTCTGCATTCTTATTAGTATTCTATGCTCTTATTCTCCACCAGATGTTAGTAGTTAGTCATTTTTTCACTTTTTTCACTCAAAAAGTTACTTTTGTTATATATTTTTTTATAATTTCATTAAACTTCTTTATGGTATAATCTTGACAGTTTTTTAGTTCCTAAATTTATCCAGATTGTAGTATTTTAAATTGAGTTTCAGTGTATCTCTTTCCTCCTTAGTACTAATTTGCTGCTTTCTTCTATGAGGGAATGGAGATAAAGTCCCCTCCCTTCACTTTAAGAGGTTTTCTTTCTTTGGGGATCTTTCTTAAGGATTCTATTGATAGAAGAAAGAAGATCAATACTCTTACCAATTCCAAGCATGCTGTTCACTGATGTTCAGGTTCGTGCTCTTGGACTTTGGCTGCAATTAGCTTGGGCTAGACACTGATCTCATGCTAGCCTTTCTCCTGTCAGGTCAGACGGCTTCCCTGAGATCAACCGAAGTGACCACCATCGCTTCGTGATCAACAGGGTGTCCCTTCTTCGTGGTCACCTCTAGGGTCCACTGATAGGGCAAAACTAGCTATGGGGAGCAGATCTCCGTTCTCCCACGACCATGTGCTACGGCCACAAAACCGGAAGTCAGATAACTTTTGCTTAGAACTCAAACCCATGATGGCATTTCCATAGAAAAAAGTACTATTTCTTACTTTTGCAAATGGGTAACTCAGACCATTTCCTATTTTCAAATGTTACAGTATTTATTTGACTAATTTCAAGACCTGAAAAGCAACTATACTTCACAACTTCACCAGGAAAAATGTTGTGTGGTTCCCAATTTCTAGTACACCATTGTCAATTTGAGAAGGAGGTTTACATCGTAAATCCAGAAGCAGGAAACATAGGAAGGTTTGTTAATTAAAGAAATAAAATATCATAAAGAAATTTCTATTGTATCTCTATATATAGCAAATATCTTTTAATGAAATGTGATTCAGAAAACAAATCTCTGTGCAAAAAGTAGCCACTATTGAAGCAGCTGAGAAAGGCTCAAGATGCTAAAGATCCCATCCTAAACTCCTCCCTCTTGACCATGTGATCCAGAATGGAGTATATACAGCATATACAGCTCCTATGTTTGCCACTATACAGAGACACAGGGCAGAGCAGAAACATAGATAAATTGTTCTAGTATCTATATACCAACCCCAATCTGATTCTGAAAGAAACATGTACAATGTGCAAAGAACCTGATTAGTCCTTTGGAACAGAGGACATGCATATACAGAGAGGCCAATGTGGATAAATGACTGTGAAGAATTCCATGAGCCATGCTCTGAATGTTCTCCCTACCTTTTTGCTCCTTACACTTTATCTGTAATGTCCAGTTTCTCTAAAATAAAGTCAAAACTGAGTATACAAACCAAGACAGCGTGGAGGTGTTTGCCATTTTCCATCTTCACATTTTATTTTTGGTGGGCCATGAAGAATAAAATTGTCTCGACACTTGAAGCTAATTTCTTCTTCACTCCTGTAGATTCTCATCTCGGCTATATTGATGGCATTGGGAAGCTGAGGTGGTGGAGGGCAGGTTTCTTTAACAAAAACATCTTATAATTAGAACTTGATTAGAACTAGAGCTAACAGTTCTTAAACCTACTTTAAAAAAAAAAGATTTTCCCCTGAGGATTTTGTTCCCTAATGTGGTCCAGAGTGTCATTAGGTAACAAGTAATGATAATCTAAAGTTTAGATTTTAGAGTTGTTGTTTAGGCCAGCAATTCTCAAGTGTAGTCTAGACTTAGATTTTAAGAACTTCTGTCCAAGGCAAATGTGAATAATACAAAGGAACAAAATCAGTGACCAAGAAACAGCCAAAACAAAGAACTCAGTTATACCATTTCAGAATTCCCAATATATATATCAAAACATAATTCTTCATGTATGGACTATTTAAAGCTTATAAATTGTAAGAACCCACCCCACTTTGCATCTTAAGAAGACAGAACTCTTGGAATAATTCTCCAACAGGAATCCTTTATTAAGAAAAAGTGGTTGCAGGTGTGCTAGACAGGACTTGGGGTTCAAGCTCTCCCATTCGAGGTTTTAAGGGGTTCCCCAGTAGTCCCACCCAATCATCCCCCTTCCAGTGATAGTTTCAGGCATCATAATCCCACCCCTTTTCTCCTTTCTTCTGTCTGGATGGAGACTTCAGATAAACTACATGAAAGGTAAATAGCCTCCTTTGTTATGATAAGGTCTTTTGGTGCTAACCACATTCAAACTCTTTGAGGTTGCAATAAACACATTCAGTTCCTTAGAAGTATACTGAAGGAAATGAGGGCCATAAAGCCCCTTTGTTCTCCCCCTTCTCTCCCTCTTATGGCAGAATCCAGAGAAGGCAGAATTGGGGTTTTCTATATTTGATAACTAAAGATGAAATATAATTGGATTCTGACATCCGGCCCCCTCAAAATAAGAGAGATCCACCTGGAAGAAACAAAACAGGTATAAAAGTTAGTCAGGCCTGTTAGGATACTCTGTGTGAAACTTCTTCAATAGCTTCGGAGCTCTGACATGACGTTTATGGGCCCACTCGTTTTGTGAGGGAGGGAGGTGTTTCCAGGCAACTAGGTACTGAGTTGCTCCATGATATCTCCTAGAGTCAAGGATTTCCTTTATTTCGAAGTGTTGTTCGCCCTCCACCATGATTGGAGGTGGTGGGGGGGATTTTTGGCCGTAGAAGGTGACTGATCTCTCTTTTCAGCAAGCTGCAATGAAAAATTGGGTGTATTTGCCTGAGATTTTTGGGTAATTCTAATTCTACTGTTACTGGATTTATGATTCTTTTAATTGGAAAAGGTCCTATATATTTTGGTCCAAGTTTTTTACAGGGCTGTAGGGACTTTAGGTATTTTGTAGATAAGTACACCATTTCTCCTATAATGAATGGTGTAGGCTCAACCCTTTTTTTATCGGCTTGTGCTTTGTATGCCTGCCTAGCTTCATCTAGTGCTTTTCTAACTATTGGCCTATTGGTTTTGTAGTTTTTCCATCCATTCTTTCAGTGAAGGGATCGTTGGTTCATTTGGGGTTAATTCTGGCACGGGGCTGAAACTTTGACCGTTGGCTACTTGAAAAGGAGTGTAGCCTGTGCTGGAGTGGACTGCATTATTGTAGGCAACTTCTGCAAAAGGAAGTAAGTCCGTCCAATCACTCTGTTGGAAATTTAAAAAACATCTCAAATATTGCTCAAGTACTGAATGACAACGTTCCGTTTGTCCATCTGTCTGAGGGTGATGGCTAGATGTCAGTCCCTGAGTGGTCCCTAAGAGGGATAAAAATTCCTTCCAAAATGCAGACGTAAATTGCACTCCCCTATCAGAGATGATGCGTTGGGGTGCCCCGTGCAATCTGTAAATGTGCTGGATGAAAAGTTTTGCTAAGGCCTTTGCAGTGGGAATCTTTTGGCAAGGGAAAAAGTGCACCTGTTTGGAAAACAAGTCCATGACTGTCCAGATAACAGTATTCCCATTGCTTTCTGGCAATTCCACTATAAAATCCATGGCTATTTCCCTCCAGGGGGCTGAGGGATTTGCCACTGGTTGTAATAGCCCTGGCGATTTCCCTTGCAACCTTTTTGCAGATGCACATGTTGATCAGCTGGCAATATAACTTTCTATGTCCTTTTTCATGGATGGCCACCAAAATTGCCGTTTAATTAAATGTAAAGTTTTTACAAATCCAAAATGCCCTGCTGATTTTGTGTCATGGCAAAGGTGCATGAAAGTGACTCTTTGAGTTGTTGGTATATATAACTTTTCCCCTACCCAAGGCAACCCGTCTCTCATTGTGCACACATTTTTGTTTTTCTGGAACCATTCATCTGTTTCCAAGCTTTTTCTGAATTCAATCCCAGTTTGGCTGTCCAGTTGTGGTTTTATTTTGGCTTGGGTTCTTGTGGTTACTGGTGCTGCCAGTTGTGACTCTGCCATTATTGGTCTAGAGTCTGTGGTTCGTGCGCTGTTATATTGGGGCATGCGAGATAGAGCATCTGCCAGGAAGTTCTTTCTTCCTGGTAAATGTTTGAGTTTAAATTGGAATTGGTGAAAATGCTGGGACCAGCGGGTTTGTTTGGGATTGAGTTTCCTGGAAGTTTTCAGGGCTTCTAAATTTTTGTGATCAGTCCACACCTGGAAGGGGATTTTGTTGCCTTCCAGGAACTGTCGCCACGTGAGTAATGCCCAACGTATCCCATAAGCCTCCTTCTCCCATACGGGCCAGCGCTGTTCTGTTTCCGTGAGTTTCTTGGATGTATATGCATAAGGTTGCAATACCCCTTCATTGTTTTCTTGTAATAGAACAGCCCCCACTGCCACATCACTTGCATCTGCCTGTATTACGAAGGGCTTGTCCATGTCTGGGTGCATTAGTACTGGTTCGGCAGAAAAAAGTCTCTTTAGTCTCTCAAACACTGCTTGGCACTCCATTGTCCATGTTAGTGGCTGGCTAGGTTTTACTGAGGATGCTCCCTTCGTTTTTAGTAAGTTAGTGAGGGGCAAGGCTATCTGGGCAAATGAGAGGATGAATTGGCGGTAAAAGTTTGCAAAGCCCAGGAAACTTTGTAGTTGCTTTCTTGTGCGGGGTGGTGCCCAATCTAATACTGCTTTGACCTTCTCTGGGTCCATTTCAATGCCCTGGGGGGATATGCGATAACCTAGGTCAGTGATGGCGAACCTATGACACGCGTGTCAGTGCTGACACGCGTAGCCATTTGGGGTGACACGCGCAGGATGAACCGCCTGAGTTCTCCTCACCGCCTCTTTCCTTGGGTGCCTTTCTGTTCCACTCGGGACAGCCGAACCAGAACTCCTTTCTAGGAATTAACGATCTATGGTCCGTTTATCTTAAGGTTTTGCGGGTTCTGTTACCACCATCTGGAGGTCTCGTGGCTGAGGGGAGCTAATAAGTGCATCTCCCCTGCCCTGCTGGATTTTTTCTCTGGCTTTCCCAGAATTCCGCCCAGCCTCCGCGTTCTTTTCGCCGCCGCCACCTCCTCCTCCTCCGCAACCCGTCCCATCCCGTGCAGCACCCTTCCACCCTGGAGGTTCTCTTGGATCAGCATCTATTCTCTCCTGACCCATCTCTCCCTCTCCTCTTTCTCCTCCACTTTCCATGATGCTGACGAAGGAATGGCAAGAAACAGGAGAAGGGGATTAAATGAAAAGCCTCAGTTGTTACTTCTCCCGACAAGCTAAGAGTCGATGTAAGTAACAGAATAGAAGAGGAAGGGGCCGCCCCGCTGCTTTTATATCACATCTCACTCCTCTCAGGCTGGAGGGGGAAGCTGGCCTTACATGTATTTAGTATAATGAACTCATTACGCGGTTGCCATTGGGCCAACCTCCACGTCCATCTGTGAGCTCATAATCAGTGATTGGCTGAGACCAATGACCCTCCTTTTGCTATGGGAAACAGGAGATTTTTGGTGGAAGAGAAAAAAATTGCGCAGCTAAGGCGGCAAAGTAATCCGTTCTTCAGAAAGCAGAAAGCAGAAACCAGAAAGCAACCCAGCAAAGTCTTAAGCGAAAGATTTTTATGTAACAGTCAACTCTCATTGAAAAGCCTTTCAGGAACGAGCTAGAGTAGTTCAAGGATAAGGTATACAAATTTTAATATATTTTTTTTAAAACGCTTAAATAAGAAACGTTCAATAATAAAACGCCCATATTTTAACCAACTCTGGAGACGAATCCAAAGAGATGAATCTCTTGTTCCTTCGGGCAATTTTAACGTGGTAAATCAAGAAAGATACACGTAACTCTTGGGGCAGAGGCAAAGTCTAAGCCACCATTTGTACAGGAAGAAGCGCAGAGAAATAAACTAGGTCACCAGGTTATTGTGGGTAACTTTTTCCAGTCAGGCCGCAATTAGTGCCACACAGTAAGGGGGAGGAAAGTTGGGAAATTATTAGCAATAATGCGACTTAGGTTTGGGGTCTGCTGCAGAGGCTGTATAAGAGCATGCTGGGAGGTGCAGTTAGTAACTACAATGCTCAGCATGCCCTCATACAGCCTATGGCTCTGCAGCAGTGCAGCTGAGCCAAAACTACAACTCCCAGCATGTTGCACCATAACCTATACTACTATATAGTCAAGTGCAACATGCTGGGAGTTGTAGCAACTAACTACAACTTCCAGCATTCCCTGACATAAATTTGAGCATATAAAATATAATAATGTATGTGCCACAGAAACAAGAAGCTTATTGTGCCACCAATTACATTACACTGATCAATACTTTGCTATAGCACAGCATTGATCAGTGTATGTAATTGAATGATTACATGTAATAGTCCCCCATAGGGAGTAAATATAGTGAATAAAATCTTTAAAAAAAAATGAATGTCAATAAGCCCCTTCAATAATAAAAATTTCAATCTCCTTTTGTCTGTAGGCCTGAACTCCAGGCACAGAGAGTCTACTCCTGGGGTGCCATGGACTTGTAATTGCCCACAATAACTGAGATAAGTGAGGGGGAGGCTGTGTTAGGCTAGTTAACCCCTAATTGGCTAACAAGCTATCTATAATTCTATC